TTTCACTGTTAAATCGATGTTTTTCAACGTCTGTTCCCCATCGCCCCAAGAGAAGGCACCCTTTCTGATGACCATTGGATCGGCTGAAAGTTAGAAAATTTTAATGAAACTAGTCTTAAGAGTGAACAATAATAAAGTTTTGCATTATATTTACCCTCTTTGGGATCATGCTGGACACTGTTTGGATCCAATTCCTCGCTATTCATGAATTTGTTAATACGTTTCACAGAAACTTGAGTCTGTGTTTTATTTTGATGACGTGTAAAAAGGTTGTAGAAATAATATGTTTATTAGTTAGTTTATATTATATAATATATTGAATAAAATTTCTCATACATTGAGTATGCACAATCAGTAATGAACAATCCCTTGTTAGTATAAGCGAAAAATTAAATTATCATTTTTAATTTTTTTTAGTTTAAAAACTATAATATGACAATAAACCAAGTGCTATATTGAAAAACGTTATATTATATTTAAGCCAATTATAAATGATTTACTTATAGTGAATTTCGAAAAGCGACCAAGCAATTGTTAAACTCTTGCAACATACTGCCACAGAAAATAATTGTTGTATTCACCTAAAAATATAGGATTATGATCAGGATGACGAGAGAGAGAGAGGCAATATATTTCATAAACGGTGTCACAATTGGACTATAGCCGTGGCCAAGTCAATACACAACATAACATTAACGATCGTATGTCACATTGTGAAAATGGGCACTAAAAGCACTTTTACCTCCCATATGTCACCATATTAAATTCGCTATGATTCTTTCACTTTCCACTTTACAAATCAAGCGCCAATAAATATATTCGGATAAAACTTTGCACAAATATCGCTTTTATGGTATGCCTTCTCGAGCCTAAAATATCGGACCATAACTGTTCAAGCCCCACATACCGAATATGTGGAGCTCAGTGCGTATGACTAAATTTATGCTGAATGAATATATTATTGAAATTTGCGTGAAATGTTTTTTGATTACACATTGTACTAAAAATGGGTTGAATCAGGTCAATACATAGCCACCATATATGTATGTATCTAACATAAAGATTTTCGAACTTCCAGTTGACCAATCTCGGAGATGTTTTAATGAAATTGAAAGAGCGTATTTTTCTAATAACAGTATGATTTTATGCTTGGAATTAATAAAATCGGATAAAAACTTGCCTTAGACACCATAAAACTAATATTTAGGATTTTGAAACATTCGGCTAACTTTATGCCATATATGTATATTTCGTCGAAAAATGAAGTTGGGCGCTGTGACTACATATTTAAGCCGGCTTTTGCAAGAGTATAAAATGTTCGGTTACCCGAACAAATAACGAGTGTACGGTAGGTGTTGTCAGCAACCGCAAAAATTTTGATATTTTGTTATGAAAATTTTATTTTTTTAATCTATTTTTTTAATTAATTAATTAATTTTTTTTTACAAATTATATTATTTAAAACTTAAAATATTAAGTTAGCGCCTTAAAAGTTACTTGGGAAGTGGTATTATAGATATTAAGCACAATTTAATTTTAAATTTCATTATGTTTACAAATTTCAGTAAAAAGGATTGCAACAGGGAATATTTACAAATTAATTTACATGTACATATACATACATTATGTATGTAACTGAACACTATGAACGATTTATCGTTTATCAAGGGAGTAAACACAAAAACAAAAACCACGACAACACATGTAATACACAATTATAAATCAGGTCGACTTACTTGAACCATGTTGGTTATCAACATGGGCAACATTATTAATGGAAAGCGCAAAATGTTGAATAATGATAATGAAACGAATATTTTAGTTGCATCGAGAACATTGTTTTCATCAATTAAAACATATGTACCGAATGTGACCAATGACACCTAGAAGGGCAGAAATAAAATATAAGAAATTTGTTTGTTATAGTGAAACGGCTAATATGAACTTATGAATATTATAAATTATAGAAGAGAGTTTAGAAATGCATGTGTATACGCACTAGAGGCGTCGAATTTTTTATTTGTAATCATTTTCTACGACTACTGCCACCAATGCTGCATTCAGATGTTCGAAGCAATGTTGTGGAAACATATGTGTTTTCTTTGCACTTAATGTGTTTTGCAATCATTGCTATAGATATTCGCTCCGCATTATAGTAGTTAATGAATGAGTTCATTTTTTTTAATTTTGTTTTACTCTTGATGTTTTTATGAGGTTTTTCTCCACCAATCCGTACAAATTTGATGTTTTACCTCAGCCAAATCGATAAATAACATTGGCAGCGTAGCCAACGGTAGTTTCATATTCTCGAACAGCGCGATGCTAACGAATACTTTGGATACCGTTAGCTGATTCTCATTACTTGATAAAACATATGTAGCAAAAGTAACTAAGGAGACCTTTTAAATGCAAAATTTATTTTAAAAAACATGTAGATTTTATTTATTCGTGTTCATCGTAAGACATACGAACAGTAAGTAGTAAGCTGTAAATAAAAGAAATGTTGGTATTTCGGAAAATTATATTAGCTTACCAAGAAGGGGGCACATGACCATAGGAACGAGGTTCCGGCGTTTAAGTATGCAGCGGCTTTTAGAGTCTCTATTTCCTTCTCACGGATTTTCAGCACTTGATTTTCGAAACTTGGCTCCCAAGCATATAATTTAAGCACCTACAACCCAAATAATTTAGTGTTATAATGTAAACGGATATAAATAAATAGAGGAATATCACTTTATTATGGCTTTGGACAATTGATATCCTCACCTTTATGCCGCTGAGCACTTCGTTCATTAGTTTAACACGTTCATCCTTATACTTCATTTGTCTGATCTGGTATACTTTAATGCGATTGGCTATAACACCATTAACAGGAATCAGAATGATCATCACAGCAAGACCGGCCAGTACGGAAGGTCCCAGTTGGAGCCACAAAAAGTACATAGCTAAGGCAATTTGTAACGGCGCTGACCATATCATATTTATGTACGTTGTTAAATCCATAAAACGTTGCGCATCTACAGCCATTAAATTGACAATTTCACCCACTGTCGATTGTTTGCGTGTTGCATTTGAGATGACTAAAGCTTTGCGGTATATAGCATTTATAAGTGCAGTACGAATGCGCAAGCCAACGACGAACATGCGATGAAAATATTGCCCCAGGATAAATGTTTGTGCAGCAGCTGTAATGAACAGGAGCGTAGCATAAAAAATACCCTTCCATTCGGGTTGCCTGTCGGCATTTTCGTCGGCATAATCTTCCACAAAACCTATAATTAAACTGAGCACTTGAGGTTGCGCAAATGCCAGTAAATCACAGATAAATTTTAGTAATGAACCCAACAAAAAGACTCCTCCAAATGATTTAATAATAGGTGGCATTATGGATGTGATTTTTTTCTTCTCTTCTGAACGCCCATGGGGGTTCTCAAATTCCACTTTTCCATTACTATACTGCGCCTTGGCCGGTGGTGGTGTTTGGCTCTTATAGTTTTTGTGCACACTTTTATTCCAATAGTACGCGAATATTGGCATGATTTCTTTACAGCTGTCTTGTGGACGCAAATCCCATAAATCTTTCTCCTCTAATGGATTTCGATAACCCCTCCATGCCATACCATCGAACCAAGTGTATGACACGCGAGACAAGAAACTTGCCGAACTTTCCGGTATTTCGTTCTACAAAGAAAAACGTTTACTAAATATATTCCAGTCAGTCACAGTAGTTTAAACAACTTACGTTCGTCCGTTTGTATTTAGTTTCTCTGGGCATGGCATCGGCAAAACAGTTCAGCAATAGCATTGCGCAAGAAAGTGCGAAATAAATCATGTAACTAACATAATTGTATTCATCCCACGAATAGTCAGGTTTGTCTGCAATGTCAGAGTTCAATATCTTACTTCGCTCATTATTTTCACGGACTTCGGTTCGGCATTGAGGAATTGCAAATATTACAAGCAGGAACCAGAAAAGAAATTGTGCGCCGGACGTCTGCACACCATATTTTCGATTCAGAGGTATAAAAATGAACAGCAACAACTAAAACCAATAAAGCAGATATAATGAATTCTTAAAGGGCTAAGTAATATAAATATTGTTACTTACAAAAGTGGCAAATTTTATAATAGGACCCCAGATATCAACAGGATGTATTAACGAGGCTGTAGCCTCATCACCCTTCTTTACTAAAGCGACAATAAAGTCGGTTGCCGAAAGAATAAGCAAAGCACTATTCAAAACCAATTTGCTAATGTTAAGTTTGTTCCAAGGGATGTTCTTATCTAAACTTGCTTTCAGGTAGTAAAAATCGAATATGGAGAAAGTCCACAAAAATGCACATGGGGCCCAAACTAAAACAGTCTTTTCAAAGCATTTTGTAAAATCTGGGTCACTTGTCCACCAAGTTTGATTTGCGTTCTATTACAATAGATAAAAAAAGGTTTTTAAATGAAAATATCGCAATGCATTGTAACTTACCCAAAATTCTGAGCCGCAAAACACATCCATAGGATGATTGCCACTATCTGTCATTTTGATCTCCAAAGCAGGATTAACACTTTTTGCTTTTTCTTGATAAAATTACGTTTTGTTATAACAACTGGATAAGCATGGAATTTTTTTTAACAAAATAAGTAATTTGTCAAATTGAACACTGGCCTTTGTGCAGCTAGTTAGCTGCTAACCTGAAATTGGAAAATGTAAAACAGCTGTTATACAGAGGTCTTCTTATGATGTAAAAGTGAAAGAATTACTATTGTTGATAACCGTATCATAATTTCCAGTAATAGTCGATAGTTTGAAGAACAAAATATTATATTACACGATCCATATACATCGTTTTTATGAATAACCAAAGCCGAAGAAATAAAATAATTTGTATACGTTCTCTAAATTTAATCTAAGCGCTTGTAGCACCCTGCAATGTAGTCTACAAAATATTACTGCGTTACTGAAAAAACGAACAAAGCTAATTACTGTCAACGAATGTCATTTTACGGTGACAGTACTTATTTCATTCTACAATTTGTTTATCAACTTCATTTTTATTAGTTTTGCAACTTGTAAAGAATTTTCTAGTGTTTATTTTACAATTACATTTTGCTAATAATGTCTCATCGAAAGAACTTTTTAGATGCGGATGAAAGTCTACTTGAAAAAAATTTAAAATTTGTCAAGGTAAGTGAAATTACTACAAATCAAGAGCACCAATATGACTTAATTCCTCACTGAAAATTTTGTTTTCAGAACGAAGTGGAAGAAGAACTCAATCAATACTTTTGTGGCACGCAAGATAGTGATGGTTTAAATGAATCGCTAGCACCTCCACGTGAATATAAAGTTGTTCAGCCAAAACCAGGTAATGACGAAAATATTATGTTTAATGAGGTTGATGGTATCTTATCAATTGTTTTTTTTTTGAGTGACTTGCAAAATCATGAAAGATAAAAAATAACCTCTTTTTCCACTTTTCAAATTATGTGAAAGTAAATATTTCTGTATATATCACTACTGCATTTTCTACATAAAAATATATTAATTTATACTCGCATCATAAATGCAGTAGTGATATATACAGAAATATTTACTTTCACATAATTTAGATTTGCTATTATTCGACCACAAATGTGTTAATTAAAGAAGACGCTTGGCTGAAACTGTCGGCAACCCAATAATAATTGGTTGTGAAAACAATTGCGAACGCCTAGTAAGCTGCTGATTGGCACAATGCATTTTAATTAATTGTAATTGATATTGAGTAGAACATGAAAAAATCGTTTTAGTATCGAGAAGGAGAAAAATACATTATGAAGTATAATTATATGAGTGCGTATATCTAAATTTTTAGATATAGAAATAGATTTATGTTCATTTTATATTTACAATTTCATAAATGCTATGACATTAGTCTTACTGGTATGTTAGTAAAAAATGTGCTTTTGCAGCGAACATGTTAAATATTTAAACGTTTTTTATCTTCCATATAAAATATTGAAAGAAGTAAAATAAAGAATTTTAGCCTCAGGTTTTATGTGTTATTTAAGAAGAACTCAAATACAGCTTACTGACAGCAGCTAAACAAGTTTCCAAAACAAGAATGGTGAATTTTACCCAAAGACAAAAATGTGTTACTGGAATCTTAAATTGTTTAAAGAAATTAGCATGCATATGTATATTTATTACTATAAGATCCTGTTATACAATACATTAAAATATGTGTACGTATAGACATATGTGAAACTATTCTCATATATTAGAAGCTGAATCGGAGAGAACATGTTAACGAGTATTTATTTGACTTCTTCTTCGAAAGTAATTGAGCTGAGCAAAAATTGCATGTTTTTATATTATATAAACATGTATACTTAAGCACTTCCATTTATACGAACACATGTTAAAATACATATACTTTTACTCAAGTTCAACATCAATTGACATTTAAAAGTTGGAGAAATGCATATTTCAACTCAATGAAAGTCAAATATTGATATTATTCTTAACATTCAAATCTCTTGATTTTTAGTACTGAGCAATGCAAACAAAACAAATTGTGATGAAAAATTTCTTCAAAAACAACCTCTTAAAATTCGGTTAAGATTATATTTTATTTTGTAATATCATTGCAATGGCCACGAAAAGAACTATATATGCAACAGTATGTTAGTTAATTAGTAATTGTGTGAGAGCAATTTATTTTCGATAATGAGATATTGAGGTATTCTAACAAATATTTCAATTTCCTTCAAGTAGTTTTTAAAAAATCTAGCTTACTTTCAGAACTCGATTTCGCAATTAATCCAAATGATAATGATAAACGTAAACACTAACAAAGCTGCATAAATTATAAATCTGTACATAATTCAAATGCCCATACTAGTCATATACAAATGAATGTGCCCAACTGGCAAAATATATGGCTTTGAAATTCAAGACTTTAAATAAACATCCTTTAAGTAAATTTGTTTTCACGCATTGGCAAACACAAGAGTAATAATGTACTTATGTACGCATGTGTATATGAAACCTGTGCCTGTGCAACATTTGTATAGCAGAAGCAAATCCAAAGCAATTTTGGAAAGACGTTAGAAAAAAAGTCTTATGTAGTTCGATCACAGAATCTGCAAGTTAGCCAATTAATACAACACCGAATCCGTTCGTCCGATAGATTTAATTCATTTTTATTTTTAAAATCACTGGTGCGTATGTGCATATTCATGTATGTATAACACTGTTTTTCGTATGCGAATTTTAATCAATTACATTTAATATTCTGCATTTATTCTTACACATGTGATGTATACACTTATTTATGAGTGTAAAAATCAGTATTGATTAGCTCATAGAGATAAGCTGTCACTCTTTGTTAATAAATACTGATGTATTTCTTATACTACCTACGAAATTTGCATCCTTTCAATGTATACTTTGTAAGAAACAACAATTACCTTGAGCTGTTTGTTTCCATATTAAAGTGGCTACAACAATAAGAGAAAAAAAAAAACCGGAACTTGAAAGAAATCTGAGTTTCAACTACATGGGTAATGGTTTTTAGATTACCCTATCTTATATATATTGCAACTATGAAATCTTATCTTATCTACTCTCTACTTTGAAGTATTGGTAAAAAAAAACGCTCACATCAATCGCCAAATATGATCGTTCTATATAGAAATTAAACTGTATTCTAGTTAACAAAAATTATGTACACGCGTATACCAGAAAATAACAATATTAGAGATTTCATTCCATATTTCACAAATTAATTAGTGTTGTTTGGGGTATATGCTCGTCTGGAGCACACATCATATGTGAATTCTTATAAATATGATTATAATTTTATCAGCACTCATTGTAATTTCGTAACAGTATGAAATGTTCATACCGTATTAAATGCATGTACATATGTATGTATGTATGTACTATATACATATAGCAAAATTTTTGTTTACTTGTGCATTCGGTCATCACTTTGCGCACAGTTCTCAATATCAACAACAGTTCGTCTATTTAGTTTAAACACTTTAAGTTAGCGACGTTTTTGTGGAAAATGTGAAGCTATGCGTTTCATGTCCCGACGCCAACTGTACTACTGTATGATTTATTGTTGAAATATGTATTTTAAGATAAATTTATATATATATATATATACACTTGTTTACTTAATCTGTACGATTACGATTATCCAGGTTGAATTTTTCTTATCGTATTTAGAGAGAATTCACCTATAATTGCACACACATTCATACGTACATATGTAGGCTTCCCCATTCATTCCCTTGATTTTCGAAACTCATAGTGATACAGCAGAAAAATTGCATGCCATATCATTAACCACGTTTTCCTTATCCCCAATCGTATATATTTAGACTATTTATATATGTAGTATGATGTTTTTCGTGGGAGACCCAAATTGCGTAATTTTGTTTATCTTTGTTTTTCTTGTACTCTGCTTTCTGTTGGCGCTTTCAACGCGAAATACCCTAATTGACAAAATAACGAAATGAGTTTCCTACTTGAATCCTTTCTAAACCCTTACTTTAAATTTTCTGTTATACCATAAATAATTATTTACTTTTGGTGCGCCTTGTTGATCAAGTTTATTATGCCCAAGTCAACAATTGTTTGCCGCAAGGCTGCTTCTCCTGCTAGTCTATAACTAGATAAATCTTATCGTTATTAAAACACCCGTAAAGCTCGTTGATAAGGATGTTCAGTTCGTGTGCTTGATATTCATATAATATACATACATATAACAAATAATACTAATTTTTTCTCGACTTAGTAGTAATAAGTTATTAGTTTGTTTTAAATTTACGTAATTTTTCTTGGTTTATCATGAATATAATTATTTGTTAGAACGCGCACTAAAAAAAACAAAATTCGTAAAAAAAAATTTAAGATTTAAAAAAATATTTGAAATTGGTTTGCATTTTATATTTCTGTTATTTTTCGCTTAGCCTTCAAAAGCAACTAATAAAAAAAATTTATTTAGTATTTGTTTATAAACTGTTCGTATGTTATTCTCAGTATTATTATGTAGTATTTTTTCGTGTAAATTACTATACTCATTAATTATATTTTTATAATTTTCACAATATTTGCATTTAAAAAATTTAGCATATTAAAAAATATGTGATTATTTTAAAAAATTTTATGGACTAGGAATCAAAAGCAATTAAGTTGTCAATGTTTTTCTATTTTGACAATTTTTGACTTAAAATAAATAACATATACATACGTACACATATTTATCTGTATATATTTACTGTTTTAATTACAAAAAAACGATAGTCATTTACAAGAAAAAACGTTAACTTCGTTTAATTTCGAAACAAGAATACCCTTCACAAATAAAAAAAAATCAATAAAAAACCATTAATTTGATCAGTCAGTTTATATGCTATAGTAATCGGACCGAAAAAAATTCTTTGCATTGTAGCGTTGGCTTGTCAAATAGTCGTTGCCAAATTTTGTAAAGATACCTATTCAAAAAAAAAAAAAACGTTTCCAAACATGCATTTGATTTTGTTCAGGGTATAAACACTTGTAGCAGTTAAATAAACGGGTTTTCAATTACAGCAGTCACATTGCGATCTTCAAAATTATTAACATTTCAAGAATAATGCACAAATACCGTCAAACCTTTATGTAATTCGGTGTATTTAATAACAGTTGCTTCACGAAGCATAATCCAAACAAATAACATTTCACTTGCGTGTACGAACATATTTAAATATGTAAAAATAAAGCGTTGTAAAACAAACAATTTTGTTTGTGGTAGTGCATGTTAAAACATTATAACTTCAAACAAAACTAAAAACCTATAATTTAGAATTATCATCAAGGCCAACCAGCACGTTGGCAATTAAATTATTATAAAAAGTATATATACGTGTTTGTATATACCAAGTATGTATGTTTTGATTGATTCATTTGTATGTAGATATGTAAAATAGAAATGTACTTGTACCCACATATCTGTAGTAAGAATGAATGAGCACGAAAAATACTTCCTCCAATCCTATAAAAAAGCCTTAGTTACCTACACCACTTAAAAACAACCCACTTGTGTTAGATTAAAAACTACTGAATTTTTATAATTGAGTTGTAAATTAGCTTTTTTGTCTGCTATATCAACTGAGTATTGTGCAATTCAATCAAAATCCTAATTACCGGTGCATTTTGATGTTGTTTTTTTTTTTCAAACATTAGTAGCACATTCTCTTGTTACATATACATCTACACATCGGGGATTTTTAACGTTATTTTGCCATTTCATTTTGGCCATATGACTAAACTACGTACATAATGAGAATTTTTTTTCGTGACTCTCTTTGCTTGGTTGAACACGATCTTTAGAGATATTTCTCTGCACACAAAATTTACACAAAAATCAAAACGTTAAAATTTCGATTCACAGGGTTTGATACAACAGCACACAGACACACACATTCGCTAATAGCGATTAAATACAAAAATTTCACTTCCACATTACCTTTTTTTTTTTTGAAGTTCAAAAGATCGTACGGTTTCGTTTTCACTGACTTCCACAATTTAAAAAGCTTTGTACCGTCGCGTTCGAGCACCTCGCACCAACTGGTTGCACTACCTAACGCTTCTACCTTTTTGTCTGCTGGCGGTTGCGTTTCTGTTAGGCATTTACGAGCAACAATAATGTTTTTGTTATTTATTGATGGCTAGTTGGAATGTCTCTACAGATATATGTACATATGAACATACATTAACTTAATGGCTAGAAAATATAAAGATGGGGCATAAAGCATTATTGCCTCTCCAAGTAGTCTTAATGTGCGCTGGGCCACCAGTTTCTGGGAGCGCAATCAGCTCTTAGTTGCCTAAAACGTGTGAGCAAAAGCTTAAAATGTGACTGAGAGAAGTTGAAGTACAGAGATAAGCGTCTATGTATTTCACGAGTGGTTTGTGTACGCATTTGGTATACATGTACATACATACATTTATATTTTCATATCGACATAATAAAAGTCACTGTACAAGTTAATTGCGGGAACTTTTTGGTTTTGAAGTGCTTGGGCTACTAATGCTATTTAACCCACACTAGTAACAAATATTCAAATAACTAAAGTTTCTTTATGTTTTAACTTATTTTTTTTTTTAACAAAATTCTTAAGGAGCGGAAATATTTTTGAAATGCCTCGTCATTACAAAACAAATAGAAAACGTGTGTTAATGAATGTAACGTTTTTTATCGATTTCGTTCTTGTGCACATATTTGTTGTTGCTGAGAACTCTACCATTTGTCTGCTGGGTATTGCATATGTATGTATTAGTGGGAGTATTTCTGATTTTGCCATTTTATGTAATTTAAAAGTGCAAAGTCATAGTTTGATTAACTAAAATAGCAGATATTGAATAGCTATGATGCATAAGTTTGGGGTTTACAATAGCTCTTCAAACATACATATTTGATAATCAAACGAAGAATCCTGAAAATAAATTCTATGATACTGAAGGATTTTAACGGTACATTTAGATATATATTTTTAGATGTGCTTTAAAAGCATTAAAAATTGTGGAAATCAATAATTTGCTTGTATTACGCCAATAACGACTGATACAACATCCGTTACCACGACAGTCCGGTATACATAATCGGAACGGAACCGGATTTTTTAACCGACCAAGGATTGTGAGCTCGTCAGAATTCTGCCGCTACAAAAACAACTGCTACAAAATGAATTTCATGACAAATTCGAATTTCAAAATAACTAACTGATAAATACATACAAGTTTTTATAAATGTACATACATACATACATATGTATATATGCGCATAATAATAGTAATCATTAAATCCTGAAGGCAGTAATTAGCGAAGTCAGTTTTTAATTCCAAGCCATAGCGTTAAATCTATGAAAATATTTCTTTATCCGATATAGAATTTAAGTTATGTATGTTACAAAAACGTTTCATACTTATATCGACCGTTATTCAGCTCAGTTAAAATTTCTGACTTTGACTTTAACCAAAAAGTTCATTGATCGGTTTCAAATTCTCCACGTGAGTCATTTCACGTTTCTTATCAGTAGTCAATATAGTGTTTCGTAGTGTCGTATTTGTTGAACCTTTTTAATTAGCAAGACAAAAACAACATTATGTATTTTTTTTTTTTTTTTGCTATTATGTATTTTTTTTTTTTTTGCTAGTTTTATATCGAAAGCAGAAGTCATGGTAATATTAGTCAATATAAACAGCAATACTTCCAACTATTAACAATATAAAAATTGTGACGTATACGGAGCATGCCAATAGTTTATTGACCAAGTCTAAAGCGGCAATTATTGCACAAAAAGCTTACCCCCTTAAGATATCAAAATTCACCTTAAACTTTTATACGTGTATCTTTAAATGCTGAATATATACATACACATATACACGTTTTTATAGAATAGATTATCTTTTCGAATCGTAATGCCAACTTGCAAAAATTCGTTTATCAATGGTTTGATTTGCAATTGTGTGTGCCACTTTAGGTGCTAACTTTAATCAATTTAAATCAAATATTTCAAGTTTGTAACTTGAGGGAAATTTGTGACAACTTACAAGTATGTGATTCACATAGCCAAATGTTTTTATAAAATATCCACACGATAATCAATATGTTTTATTACTTAAGTATAATACATTTTTACATTACTTAAGTATAATACATTTTTCAAGTTGTCGACTTCATTACCACAAACACGTTTATATTTAGATTTAGAGATTTTGAACATGAATGCGTTATCGTATTACATTACTTACTTAAATTACTTTTATTTTTTTTTGTGCCTCAAAAATTTAGTGTCAAAAATTCAAGTCGAAGTTTGTTTATGAATGTTTTAATTTTTGAAAGAATATCTTCTCTTAGCTCGTATAGTAACTAATAATTTTACGATATAACATGTGTTGCTAATTTCTTTATAGCTAACATGCTTAAACTATCTCAACCGAAAACTTTCGCTTTGTTATGATCATTAACCTCTTACGCTTTTGTAACAATAATATATACACATAATGTGACCCATTTTAAGAAATTTACAAATCCGCCATGTGTATGTATGTGTACTCTCTTAAAGTTTAATATTTATGCATTTGTACATATAGATATGTGCAAAATACATATAAAAGAATCTTGTCATGTATTTTCGTAACTTAACATTCGTTTATAATATTATAATTATAAAGGTTATAATATCAAATATAACAATAAAGTTAAGTCTAAGTAAACGATCTTTATTGAAATATTCCGTTACACCCGAACTTACTGCCTTGTTACTTGTTAACATTTTATTTTTATTTCAGGAATTTGCATCAAAAGCTTCAAAACGAACACAAATGATAAATTTTTCATCAATGTTTGTCAAACTGAAGAGATACCGCCACCGGAGGACATTACCGAAGAGCAGTTGGCTGACATTTTGCAATCGGAAATACCCAGCTCCTTTCGCATTCCCATGAGTATTTCCGATCCGCGTGTAACTAAGGATAAATCAAATAATTCAGTAGATGTTTGCGATATTGCGATTAATCCTAACTTCTTTGTTAAAATTCAAAAATCCTTATTATTTAAAGACTTTTTTCTGGCACTAATTGCCGAAGCTCTAAACGATAAATATAATGTACAAATAAAAGTCGAGAAATCAATAATATTGCAAAATAGAAAGTTCATTGGCACACTGGTGCGGCATCGTGTACGTAATAAGGACGTAAAAACCGTTTTGAACTCATATAAACAACCAACTGAGGAAGACAAAAGGAAATTGGTAGAACTTGAAAAAACTAGTGGCGGAAAGAATGTGCCATTGGTACAAGAGATTGATACAAATGAGGTGAATGTGCTAAAGCAGAAATCAGAACAATTAAAGCAGAATTCCTCCAAGATTAAAGAGGCAATATCACTAGCTGGATCCACAGTGCCGGAGTTTAAGCTACGTGCCAAATTGTCCAAAGAGGAGGTTGAAGAAATACAGGCGGAGTTCTATCTACCAAAATGTGTAAGTAACAAAAAGTGGGACCAAATCTCAATGTGTACTCAGGCCTAATTAATCATTGCAGTTTCATAGAAAATATTTTGTTTGACAAATAAGGTTTTTTGTAATAATTCAATTATTCTCAACACAGATATCTTCAAATGAAATCCTACTGGATATCGGAGAAGATCGCATTTTATTGGAATCTATCAAGCATGGATATATGTTTGATAAGTTTGTGAATTATCGTTTGAATCAAGAACGTGCTCGGGCAATTTTCGACAAAACCAATAAAGTATGTTAAAAAAACATAAGAAAAGAGAAAAACTTAATTTAATTTTCTAAATTTTTAATTCTAGATGCTTCAAGTTCGTATTCCTGTATATCCAGTGCATTAAATTATATGCTGGACAGCAGCTGTACATGTATACAATTACAGAGTTAAACTCATTCATAATTTAGTGTATAAATTAGGTGCACGGCATTTTCAATTTATTGATTTTTTTTTTTTAATTTTAGTGTATAAATTAGGTGCACGCATTTTCAATTTATTGATTTTGTTAAATAAAGTATTAAATTTAACAGAATCGTTATTTTCATTATGTTAAAATAATTTTAAATTCAAATAACTTTGATAAGTAGTAAGTTGTTAGTGATATTGAAAAACTACAAATATAGTAGAGATATGTATATAGAGGTTTATATAGAAAAACACAAACTTCAAATTTAAGGATTATCATTCGAAAGAACATTCTTTGGCATTTATTTATTTTTTTTTTTTTAACTACAACAGGGAGTCGGTAAAGTTGTTAATGGCTCCACTGCGAATGGCGGTCAGTGCGTGTCAGAAGTTAATTACGTCTGAAGTCTAGTCGGCCTATTGTTTTATATCGTCGACGTAGTTGAGGAACGACCTCTTGAAGTTCCTAGGAAGAGGTTCCGCTCGAAGCAGGGGCATTTCTGCGAAACCACCCCTGCAGGAACTGGGGTAACGTTAGCACTGGCATCATTTTTGTAAAAATATGGACCGAGATTAAACTGGCTCACAAACCACTCCAAACCGTTGTTTCTTCTGGATGAAGTGACAACTATTGATTTTCTTCAGTTTGCTCTTCGTCCCAAATGCTGCAATATTGCTTGTTTGCATACCCATTGAGACAGGATTGGGCATCATCATATGGATTTATATATGTGGTGAGACGTCGTTAATAAAAGTCTGGCATCTCTCATCTAATGTCATTGTCCCAATCCTTCTATGCTTTTTTTTTATTATTTTACTTCTTATGCAATTCATCACTTGTTCTTTCAATTCTTAAATTAAATTTATTCAATCATCTCAAAGTTTGAATAACTTCTTTCAGTTATTTGAAATGTTGCTCAATCGTTTAATCAATCAAGGTAGGGCATTTGTTGCTCCGTCTTTACGTCATCTTATTCGCCGGCAACAAGAAAATGTCACTCTTCGTTCGTTTTTGACATTTACCGTGCAACCGGCAGCTGTCAAAAGGCACAATTTGGTGCTAGAAGATTCGATCACAAAACATTGTTGCCGTAAATATTCTTCAACAAAGTTAGCCATGGAGGAACATTGCGTAGTGCCAGATGTAATTTCGTGTGTGCCACAAGAAGTAGTAACCGTTTGTTATCCCAGTGGTGCCACTGTAGAACTAGGAAATATTTTAACGCCAACTTTAGTAAAAGACCAACCTACCATTACTTGGAAGGCCGATCCTGATGCATTATATACCTTGTGCATGACAGATCCTGATGCACCTAGCCGTACTGATCCCAAATATCGGGAATGGCATCATTGGTTGGTTGGTAACATTCCTGGATGTGATGTTTCCAAGGGAGAGGTAAATTGTCTAAATATAACACAAAATACATATAATTGGTCTATTCATTATGCTTTTCTGTCTTTAAAGGTCTTATCGGCCTATATTGGTTCGGGTCCTCCACCAGAAACTGGTTTACATCGCTATGTTTTCTTGGTTTACAAACAGAGCGGCAAGTTGACATTCGATGAGAAACGTTTACCAAATAACAGTGGAGATGACCGCGGGGGTTTCAAAATTGCTGCTTTTGCCAAAAAGTATAATCTTGGTGATCCAATTGCTGGCAACTTTTATCAAGCTGAGTTTGATGACTATGTACCTATTTTATATAAGCAATTGGGCGCATAATATATTATATTTAATATATGAATTTGAAAATACGTAGTGATTTTGTCTAAAGACTCTAAATTGAAATAAATATTTAATATATGCAATTCATAAAATATATTTTTGTTTTATTAATTTAAAATAAAAGTTTTTATTTAATTTGAAAATGGGTCTATCAATTATTACTTTGGAGGGTTTGGGTAAAAGCATGAACCCCTTTGAGTTTATTTCTTGATACGCCTCTGCAACTGGTTATCATTTGTGGTTTTTTGAGGTTTAGGGCATTTTCTAATTCTGATTTAGATTGTAGTATAAAAGGTTTAAAAAAGATTATATATTCATTTCAATAGTGCTCTTCGAAATGTCGAAACCAATTACTTTTGTCACTGGCAACGCCAAAAAGCTGGAAGAACTCGTAGCCATATTGGGAGATAAGTTTCCACGAAAAGTGGTGAGCAGAAAAATAGATCTTCCTGAATTACAAGGCGAAATTGATGAAATCGCTATTAAAAAATGTAAAGAAGCGGCAAGACAAGTCGATGGCCCAGTACTGGTTGAGGACACGTGCTTATGTTTCGATGCCTTAGAAGGTTTGCCAGGTAAATATATGTAATATGTATTAATCACCCGCGCTACATGAAAATATTTCCATATTATTCTTAGGGCCTTACATAAAATGGTTTTTGGAGAAATTGCAACCTGAAGGATTATATCGTATGTTAGCAGGATGGGATAACAAAAATGCCAAAGCAATATGCACGCTTAGTTTTGCTGAGAGTGCGAACAGCGAACCAATAATTTTTCAAGGAGTAACAGAAGGTAGTATAGTTGAACCACGAGGTTGTCGCGATTTTGGCTGGGATCCTATTTTCAAGCCCAATGGCTATGATTTGACCTATGCTGAAATGCCAAAGGAAGAAAAAAATAAAATTTCCCATCGTTATAGGGCATTAGCCGCATTGCAGGATTATTTTAATAATGGTAAATAACTATTTGATAATCTACGCAATTTATTAATTTTGGAATAAAGTGTAATCGTTAATTTCTCATTTTCTTTGTTAATTATTTTGATAGACAAATATCACATTTGTGTATTGAAGGTTCGAATAACCAAAGTTCTCTGGTTAACTCATAACTTACATCCACACTAAAACAGCACTGAATAGTTTCGTTTGTTATTATTTATTTTATTGTAAACCGCATTCATTTAAAGTATTCACAAATTTTTCTACTCCGTTCGGGTTAGTGATTATTTATTCTTTTATATTATAACTTATGAACCGCTCACAAGTATACGAAACAATTTCTTTTAAACAAGAAAATACCTTGTATATCTAGCTTCGCAAATGGTGATTTCGACTATCCGTCATCTAGTCGATTTTTTTGCTTTTACCCTTTTTGGGTACAGAGATAGGTTTTGTTGAAGTCTTTCCAATTTTGACTTTCTTACTCTTTTCTGGTTTGTTCCAGTAGTATATCATTTGTGAAGCAATCACGCCATTCGCAAATGTGGACGCGCAGAATGTTGCAATTATCATAGAATCTCCAGTCTCTTGTGCAGATGTAAAAATGCGCGCTAATGAACCAGCAAATAACAAGAACACAGTTGCTGCGGACAACTGTCCTGTAGAACTATTCTTGTAATTTGTCCATGCCTGTGAGAGTTTACCCAGAAGTAGTATAGGTATATTAAATGCTTGTGCTACCAGCAATATATTAATTGGTGTTATGCCGCAATTGAGTACGTACACTACCAGCGTATATGAAATGCAGAAGATCAAGGATAATCCCTTTGAGCCACCATAGAAAAGAACTAAAGCACCGATAGCAGCAGTTTGTAGGGCCAGAAATGTATTATCGCCCCAAGCACTAAATGGATAACCCTTAACGTAGTTGTATGACATATGCGATGTTATGGCTGTAAGGTCCAAAAGTACACTTATCAAATTAATACCCTCACCGGATTTGTTTTTGATCAATTTCAAAACCTGGGGTATTTTAACCAAAATAGACCCAGCAATTATTGCATATCCAAGACATTTGCTCAACAGTGATTTAAAACACGTACCTGTTTTCAAAAAAGAATTTATTTTCTGAATGAAAGAGAGCAGAATAATTTTAAAAATTAACTTACCATCGGTGAAGTCGTGAAAAACCATATATGTTTCAATACATTCCTCGGAAAGAAAGTAACTTAAAACTGTCTTTAGCACTTCAGTCATTTTTAATGTTCTAAGGAAGTTCTTGTTCTAAAACTCCACAATTTCCCCTTAATTGATAAAGAATAGCGGGATTTGTTACAATTACGACCTTAATTAATAAATTTTTATTTATTTCTTAATTGATTACGTTTAGATAACAAAATCGCAGATAATAATCCCTATAGGCAAATGAACACGTATTTTGACATTTGAATCGATTTGTCGTTGACATTTGCAATCATATGGCTATTTGGAAAAAAAAAAGAAAATTTTTTAAATAAACAAAAAATTTGGGTAAATTCTAATTTGAAAATTAAGACCACAAGATTTTAATTATTTGTAACGTACAGGCAAGTATTCACAATCAAGGACTTTTTACTTTGGATTTTAAAACGTTATTCATTATTTTGGTTTTTTTTTTAAAGCATGCATTATTTTAAGTTTTATTTAATTATATTAACTACATATTAAGTATAAAAATAAAAAATAAATTTATTAAATTCAAACATCATCTCATATAAATCAAGTGTGGCAACCTTTTTTCTTATCATTATATTTTCGTGAATGCCATTAAGCCACTTTAACTTCTTTCCATAGTCATCAAATTCTGTTTTCGCTCTGTTAATAATTTAGTTATAAATAGGTTTTATTTGGTTATTTATCTGTATAGTGGATTGAACGAAATGTCATCCAACACGGAAGCAAGTGGCTCACAACAAACAAGCGACCCAAATAAGCGGCAAGAAAATGGAAGTGGCGATTGCAGGAAAATTGCTTTGATAACCGGCATAACTGGGCAGGTTCGTATTATGTTCTGTAAAGACCAAATTAACTAATATTGCTTAAGATTTTTTACAATTCAAACCTACCACTTACAAACATATATACGATAATTTGGTAGGGGAAATAATTATGTGAATATCTGCTTAAGGGACACATTCAATTTGTTGTTTTAGTAAGCATTGTTTTTATACGTATATTCAGCTGAGTAAATAATATTTGGCCAGCATACCAACATATACTTTTATCCACGTATATATATTTTTCATACAAGTTTTATTAATTATTTTTGTATTATTTGAATTTACCTTTTTCCGAAATCACAGGACGGGTCGTATTTGGCTGAGTTTCTCTTAAAGAAAAACTATGAAGTCCATGGCATTATTCGTCGTGCTAGTACTTTCAACACTTCTCGTATTGAGCATCTTTATGCCAACCCTGTAGCACATCAAGGAGGAAAAATGAAACTGCATTATGGTGACATGACAGATAGTAGTAGTTTGGTGAAGATCATCAGCATGGTAAAGCCAACAGAAATTTATAATTTAGCTGCACAATCTCATGTAAAAGTCTCATTCGATTTGAGTGAATATACTGCCGAAGTAGACGCTGTTGGCACATTACGAATTCTAGATGCTGTTCGTACATGTGGCATGGAAAAAACTGTACGATTCTATCAGGCTTCCACCTCAGAGTTGTACGGAAAGGTGGTAGAGACACCACAAAACGAGAAGACACCGTTTTACCCTCGGTCACCTTACGGTAAGTTAATTCAACATATATAAATTAATTATCTTATCTGTAATAATTACGAACTTATGCGAAGGCTGATGATTTGTTCTACATTCTTTACAGCTTGTGCCAAGATGTACGGCTTTTGGATTGTTATTAACTACCGTGAAGCATATAATATGTATGCCTGTAATGGCATATTGTTCAATCACGAATCCCCACGTCGAGGTGAAAATTTCGTGACACGCAAAATAACGCGTTCGGTAGCGAAAATATTTCATCAACAATTGGATTCTTTCGAATTGGGTAATCTCGACTCGAAACGTGATTGGGGTCACGCAATGGATTACGTGGAGGCCATGTGGATGATGTTGCAATTGGAAAGACCTGCTGATTTTGTGATTGCCACCGGTGAAACGCACAGCGTTCGTGAATTTGTGGAAGAGTCTTTCAAATTCATTGGCCGAGAAATAGTTTGGCAAGGAGAGGGGGTTGATGAAGTGGGTATCGAAAAGGATACCGGCGTTGTGCGTGTACGCATTAATCCGAAGTATTTCCGTCCAACAGAAGTGGATTTATTACAAGGTGATTCGAGTAAAGCCCGTCAAGAGCTTAAATGGTCACCGAAAGTTACATTTAAAGAATTAATTAAGGATATGATGGAAGCGGATATAGAACTTATGAAAAGGAATCCAATTGCCTAAACTAGTGATTGCTCACATAAGTGTGATTTTATTTGTGACTTTGACGATAGTACAATCGTTTCTTTTTATGAAAGCACAAATATAGTTTAGCCACAGATCGCGTATATAATTTGTATTATACATATTCATTTATGTAGTTAGTATATAGTCCTTTGACTTTTTGTTTAATTTTATAGTTTGCTACATAATATATATTGTAGGTATGTGTTTTTATTGTATTTATAAATATTTTATAGAATTTGCATTCCAAAGCAAAACAATTGTATTATGTCTGCAATAAATGTGCTTTACAGTTCAAAATATTTTTGAAAAAAATCTAATAATTTATTATATTTAATTATAAAGATAATAGTCGGGACTTATTTTCTTGCTTAAACAATTCGTTTGTTTAATATATGAGGCAAGAATAGATGAATCTAGGGTGACTAGCCTTGAACAAAAAAAAAAAAAGGATTAGTTGTTGGTAGGACTAGGACTTTTCCAAAACAAATATATATATATTTATTGCATATATAGTTGGATTTATTTCACTTTCATAGTCGAGCATAAATTTACCTTTTACCAAAATTGCACTGCTAGTATGCGATGTGAAATGTTCACATGCATATTTTCAATATAATTTTTGTAAAATATTACTCATTGGTGAGAAATATTGATGAAAGGTCATATACCATATATACATACATTGATTCTAAAAAAAAAACAAGAATGTTTGACAAACATTAATTTTCGCATAACAGTGAATAAAATTAATAGACTAAGTCTTTTAAGTTTCTTGTTTTTTGCCAAATGGATTTATTTTCGACAACCAGTTTGATGTAGGCGAGGATGGTGCTTCACTACAGGACAAATAAAAATTACTTAGCGCATTACTTTAGTTATGAAAATGTACTTACAGTTTTGTTATGCGTTCGATGTCAGCATCGTCGTTTCCCTTCGCTGACTTTTCTTTAATGTGTCTGCCACTCGCTTCGCTAATACCGGCATTTCTCAGTTGTTCAATTAATTTCATCCGGAATTCGACTTTATGGGGTACAATTGGGTTTTCAGCGCGTATTTGAGCTTGCAACTTACGTATGGCCTCTTCGTATGTATGACCGTACCATTCAATTTCTTCTGGTGTATACTAAAAAATATACAGCACATCAAGACATTTCAAACAAGTGCAATATATTAAATTACGTCATACCGAATCCAAATAACATTTATATTCCTTAAGAACACGCGCTCTTTCTGTAGGATTATCCGATAAATTGGGACAGCCATCCTTCAATTCCATTAGAATTTTGCGTTTCAACTTCAGGGCTAGTGCAGAACGCAAATCGCATGCAAGATTCTGAAAATTATGATATGTATTACAGAATAATAAACCTATTTTCTCACAACTCAAATATTACACACCTTCAGAAGATAGTGATCGAAGCCATGACAATCATGAATTTGATCGATGGTGCGATCAGTTACAACCATTGAAATATACGCGTTTAACACCTGGCTGTGCACCACTGAACGTCGTAGCGTCGGTACCCAAAAATGTGGCACTCGCCTTTTTTGCGGATGACGTTTTTGAAAACCTTTGATTACAGCTTCACCACCCCAAATACCTTCATGTGATTCGGGGGTGTCGATTAATGGCAAGGGTACATTTTGAACAGGTCTTACTTTCCCAGTCACTTCATCGTGTTCAAAGGATTCAGTCTTTGGAACATAGTGTACGGAAGCTGGTGTAGTAAGCTTCCATTCACGCCAGAATTTTTTGTAAGCCTCTGGCAGTTGTGCACCCAGACCTTTGTCGAAGCGAGTTAAACGCTTAAAGCCGTGCAGCAGTTGAGGTCCCTTTAAATAATACAATTTCGTTAAAATTCTGGTACAAGCACTCTACACAATATAAAAAAAATATTTTTAACACAGTAGCTTAAGTATTTTAAGCTATTTATTCCATTTCCTTTGGAGATTTGGCACAAAACTTTTGCTTGTATTGCGTCACTATCACAATAAGTTCGAAACTTACCTGCGATGTGGCGTGTGCCATGCCTAATTTTTTGAATTATAGTGTGCAATTATATCGATTTAATAATAACTGTTCTCCTGATTTTAACACAAGAAACAAAATTTTTACGTTAAAAACACAATTTCTTTAAAACTAATAATGATTTTGAACTCTGATTCCAATTGAAAGTGGAAAAGATAGACATCAATCACGTTTTGACAATTCGTTTTCGCTTCACATTCAGCTGATTCTGCTATGACAATCAGCTGGTTGCGCAGTTATGTTATACAACAAATATGAACTATTAACAAAAGTAATTAAAAACATTTGTATTTTACTTTTAACAAAAATAATTAAGAACTTTTGTATTTTACCAAGAGGCTATCAGCAATTAAACATTTTTTAAATTTAATTTCGAGAATTTGTTTGATTTTTAAAAGTATTAGAGTATAAATCGGTTTTTTTTAGGTGGCGCTATTACAATTTGCAAATCTTGTATTTTCCAACACTAACACAGAGTGACATTGTGTAAATATTATTGATGACTGGAAGAATACGCATTTCTAGCATTCACATGTCATACTCGTTTATATTTCTCCGTTACAAATAAAAAGTGCGATGGTGTAACGGTTATTCAAAAACTGATACGCGAAACAAGTTCAGATAAATACCAACCATTAAAACATACATATATACAAATAAATGAACGATTTAAAACATGCATTTAGAAACTTTTATATATCGTAGATTTTATTCCTGCGCAAAAAGTTTAAGGCATTCAAGTTCACAAAAATAAATCTTATTACGATAAAATTAATTAGATTTATATATAGCACATTGTAAAGTTGTCCGCTCACATTTTTTATGAGTATGAAACGCACAGTTTATTTAAAAGTAGTCTATGTACAGTTAAAGTAGTTGTGTATATGTAAACTTAATATATTCTATCAGCGTTTAGTTAATAATGACGAAAGTATATTCTTAGATTTTAATTATACAAGAATTATCTAAGTTTACATAAAGATAGTTCATTAAAAAAAACATTTTTTTTATCGCAATACATTTATATGTAAGTATTCAAGTCGGCGTTTAAGCTATCTCATTATTTTTCTTTATAATGTTACAGGAGTATAAATGATTTTTAAGCAGTCCAAATATTTTTTTTGGATTAAAAAATTTAAAATTTATGATCCTCCGTAGTTTTAGCCTTATTATTTAATTTTATAATGACATAATGGATAAAATATGACCTAAAACCCTTTATGCTTCCATTTATAGTAAATAAATGCATTATGTATAGTATGTAATATTTCACCGTTTTTTAAGCTGGCGCGCTTTCATCGATAAGATCAATGATATTTGGAAAGCTAAAACCGTTAAAATAAGTGTCAAGTTACTGTGAATTAGCAAAATCGCATGCAATACTTATGACTATAACTCATTTTGACTATGAAAATGAACACTTATTAGCATAATAAATATGAAATCGACTTCTAAACAAATTTCATTAAAAAATAATAACAAAAAAAAATTAAAAAAAAAAAAATTAAAAATAAATTGATTTTACTCTCGATAAGTAATCCTCACATACAGTAGTATAGTATAGTTTGTAGTTTTTAGTTATTACGAAAGTCGAATTTATCTAATCATGACAATATTTGTTCGAATATTTTTACATTCTTACACATATTTGCAATAGGCAAACAGCGCCGACTATTAAGCTCTATGCCCCGGATTGTGTTGGTTTTTCTACTGATCACCCTTCATTTATTATCCACTTCCTTTGAAACAGTCTTTAAAATTTGATAACTGGGATTGGAAAATGCATCCGCTGCTCTCGCACCATTGTTATTCAACTTTTTCGGTGAATTCACGTTCACATAGTTATCGCTGCCGCTGAGTTCGGTCTCGGCGATGTGATGACGCGGCGACGGTGTAGGCGTAGCGCGTACATGTTGTTGTAATATGTTTTTGGCGAACTTTCGGTCTTGCGCTGGGCTGTCGTCGCCATCATCTGAATTGTGATGTGTGCCCGTCAGCATTGGTATCTCCTCCGGTTGCATGCCTTCCTTCTTGCGATTCTTATTAATTGCACTATCGAGATTATTCACTAAGGTGGGGGAATGTTGTGATGTTGGTGGCGCTGTTGGCGCTGTATTATCTGGGAAGGTGAAAGAAGTTGTTGTTGTTGTATTTGTATCTTCATTAGAATTTTGATAATCTTTGGGACGTGTCGGTGAGAAAATGGTTGTACCAGTTTCGATGCTCATATTTAAGTAGTCGTCGGAAGTAGATGGCTGTATACCTGGGTGAACGTAATGGGAAGGACAAACGCACACAAATGCACAAACGCATGGTAGCAAGACGGAGTGTTAGGTTAGTTGCATGAAATCGAAGACAGATGTGAATACATGTGTGTATGTATGTAGATGGAAAGATTTTAAATAGAACATAGAAATATGTAAGAGTGGTTAGTTAAAGAAAGACACAGTCACATTTATAAACAATTATAAATAGATAATTACGTATGTAAAAAGGATGTTTTTATGCATACACGTATGAATAAAGTAATTAAAATGAATTAAACTTACGTATTTCAGGCAATATATGGCCGTTTACATAGCGTGGTGGCGCCGGTGCCATTTCGTCTGGTGAGCCCATTAGCGACAGATAATCAGTTGGCTTGGTATTGGCATTGTCCATGTTCGCGCGCAAATAAGTGTCATTCAAATCAACATAATGCTGTTGAAAAATTAATATATTTTTTTATTACATGGTCTATAGGAATTTTTTCCATCACTATGTTTAAATAAAATGGTCATGGATAAGTGGCAGGGATGTTAATCAAAGGTCAGCTGTTGGCATTATTTTTATAAATTTCTTAAAGTGGGTTCAAAAAAATTTTGCAGCATTAGTTTTTTGTTTTGGTTTTCCTTATCATTCGGTAGTTTATTGAATTTAATTTTTTTATACTTACATTTGTCACATCCTCGCCCAGCATACGTGCGAAGTATTTTTCCAACACTTTAAATAATGGACGGCTCTCCGGATTTGTACTCCAACACTCCAACATTATATCGTACAATTCATTATTGGCATATGGTGGTTTCTCCATGCGATAACCATCTTTTATTTTCAAATATAAGCTCTGATTCGGATCCATACCGGGATAGGGTACCTTGGCCAATGAGAAGAACTCCCACAAAACAATGCCAAACGACCAGACATCAGTGTAAGTGCTAAAGATATGATCGCTGAGTGACTCCAAGGCCAACCATTTAATCGGCAATGGTGCTTCGCCTTGTTTCTTGTAGTTCTCACTTTTATACATGGAACGTGCTAAGCCAAAATCGCAAATTTTCACCACATTATCCTCACAAAGCAGGATATTACGAGCCGCCAGATCACCGTGCAACACTTTACGCGACGACAGATAATCCATGGCGCGTGCCACTTGGAATGCCCAACTTACCAGCTGTGTTGTGGTAATTGTCATGGCTTCTGTACTATCTGGTTTGTAGTTGGAGCGCCAAGCAGGTTGCACAGAATTATTGGATAAGACATTATCATCGTCTGTTGTAGAAAAATAATAAATAGATTAACGGTATTAGAAGCAAATACATTATATCATGAAATGTGTTTACACACCCTCCGGTATTGTGGTCATTACAGTTTGCTCCGTTGCACAGCTATCCACATGTCCTTCGTACAAATCCGATTGACGCAAATATCCAGTGGAATTGGGACGGCCGGCACGTGTGCCGGAGCGTGGATCCTCGTCGGAGTTTCTACGATTATTTGCCGTATAATTATTATTCATATTATTCATATGATTAACATATTGGTGATTTGCAAATGCCAGATTAACATATCTTACTCCATCACTGATTCAAATAAAATACAAGGCATCCATAATGCATAAAATAGTTGTTGTTATGAGCACCACAAATATTATTCCCATTGTAAGTACACAAGAATCATTCGCATTGGATGTAGGAAGTAGTAGGGACAAATAATTACCAGCACCACAAAAATATAGTTAAACACATACAGACAAACATAAATCAGTTAATAAATGGTTCACAGAAGTGGTATTTACAAGTATTTTAAGTGCAATTTAGAAAAAAAAGGTTAGCAGGAAATATATTTTTTAGATAATAGTATTTTTAGTTTAAAGTAGAATAGATGAAAGAACATGTTATGAGAATAAAGCTTTCCTATTTACATGTGAAAATAAAACCTCTACCTATTAAGTGGTAGTGCGCTAATCAAATTACCAAGAACTTTGAAATACTGCCTGATTTTCTTATATAGAGCCAGCTGGCAGCCAGCTTCATAACAGCGACATCACTTCGCGGCGGGAGCGTCAGCCAAGCACTGACCAAACACGGTGACTGCTTTTCTTACATAGAGCTAGCTGACGGCCAGCTACGGTTGAAGTCACCCGTGACTTTTAAATCACTTCACTTCGCGGCGTGAGCGTTACCCAAGCACTGACCAGGCACAGTGCTTGTTTTGCTAGCTGGCAGCCAGCTTTATAACAGCGACATCACTCCACGGCGTGAGGGCCACCTAAACACTGGCCGGGCACGGTGCCTGCTTTTCTTATATAGAGCCAGCTGGCCAGGCACGGTGCCTGGTGACTTCCTGCTACCAACTAGCTACATTGTTGAGTTACAACCAGAACATATAGCTGCCATTCAAATCAACAGATCCAAATCGGCAAAATGTTCGTATACACTTTTAGCAAATAGTTGATTTTCAAAAAGAGCGATTAAAATCAAAATAAAGATAATTTTAAGTGATTTTATACTATGGGGCATGCACTTATGAAGAATAGTATAACTCCAGTACAACCGAAGCTAACGCCTTTGTTAGTAATTAATTCAAGTTCTTAAAATGTTATTAGAGCTAAAAGTGTTATAAATAACTATGGTTTTGTTAGTGTTGGACAATCGAATTAAATCGGAAGTAATAAGTAATAAAATCATAGGCTTCAAGCAAACAAAAACCATGCCACGAAATATTACATAATAGAACAATGGATTCTAATTGCAGTTGTTAAATACATATATCGACTATTAAAAATGAAAACATATAAACATGAAATTCTGAATAATAATTTTTGTTTTAGTAAAATGCAATTAGTTTAAGGTTGTGGAAACTAAAAACGAATAATCTCACATTTCTAATATTATTAAAAATAGTTATTATTGAAATGCATGCCATGTAGTATATAGTATATGTACATGCATATGGTAATCAAATATATGCGTGTATAAGCTATTATTTGATCCGATATAGGTAAAAAGAACATACCGGTTTAACTCGAAATTATCCGAAAACCGCTGTTTGGTGATGGTTGGATCAATTTTATCCGTTTCAGGGTTAATTTGATTTATGAATCGTTTACGATTGCGCAGTAAGAAGTTTTGTACATTACCATAACGACAGTACTCCACAATAACCATTAATTCACCTAAACAAATATGTTTAAAATTAATATAATCAAGAGATTTAGAACAACCGAGTGATTGAGCTACACACGTTTCGCAATATTTTTGGTGACTGCACCCAAGAGATTGACAACGTTCAAATTTGGGCCGAGATGCACCAAAATCTTCAATTCCGTCACCAGTGCACGCATCACCTCATTATCAGCAATACGTTTGACCATTTTCACAGCCACTACCGTTTCTTTTTCATCTGGTCGTATGCCTTCCGCATGGGCTTTTAACACCACACCAAAAGCGCCGGCACCCAATTGCTTGCCCAATTTAAGTTTTTCACGTGGAAATTCAAAAGCACGATCATATGGCAATAAATCGGCCTGTTCGTCTAATGTCAGCGCTGGATTTATATGCTCCACAGCGCCGTCTTCGAAATTTGCCAAACCGGCCGCTTTGTAATCACGCAGACGCTTTCGTTCGCGCATGACACGCACACATAGATAAATCACCAGGGCAATGAGGAAAATGAAGAAGAACAGTATGGCGAGTATCCAACCGACGCGCATGCGTGGCAAATCTGCAAACAAATCAAATTATGAGTTTACTTCAATTATTACTTGTGATTAAAATGAAACTCACTTGTAATTTTAACCGCCGAACTCACTTCGACAGTACCCAAACGATTTGAAGCCACACATTTGTATACACCTTCATGTTCAGGTTTGATATATTGTATAATTAGTTTGCTGCCATCGTCTAGAATGTTCACATAACTGCTGTTGTTCAATTCAACATCGTCCTTATACCAATGTACTTCCGCTGCTGGTATTGCATCCGGTTTGCACTCCAATTGTAAAGCATCGCCAAGCTTGCGCTCCATTTTATCACTCTCATCAAGATTAGTATGCCGCATGCGTGGAGCCAAGGGTTCTGCAGCAGGGAAAAAGGAATCAAAGAGAGAGCATATTTATTTTATTTAAACGTAAAGCGCTTACTCAAGAACTTCTGCCACAAAGCCACACTCATTGTCGAAATTGGTGTGATCTTGCTGAATTTCGCAAAACAAAAATGGATTTAGGTGACAACTTACCATTAACAAAAATGCTTCTATATTTAGTTTCTTGCATGTCGGGATTGTTTGCATTACGTGCACGACACTCATAGCTGCCCTGATCGCTATCTTGTATATTTTCAATTACCAATGTTTTTTGATACGAGTAGCTGCTTGAAGAGTTGCTAATGACAAAATCTATAACAAGACCATAAATGTGACTAGTATTTAAAACTCATTGCTTTCGTAATATAGAACTTACTGCCGCTGTTCTCTTCCACCAATTCGCCATCTTTATACCAATCCAGATCGTCAGAGAAGTAATAAGAGAGAGCAGCACACGTGAGTGTCACCTCATCACCGCGTGCAATTTTCTTATTCTCATCCGTACCGTATATGGTCATATTGTCATTTATGTCGCCAATAAGCACGTGACCTTTACCTTCACCCATACCTTTCGGATTTACCGCTAAACAATGCATAATACCCGGTCTTTCTGGCGTAAAAAATAGGTCATGTATATATTCAACGGCCGTTGCGCCTGGTTGGGCATTTCGTGTAGACTATTGTTGTTATGTAATAAAATTAAATTAAAGTTCAAATAAGTCAAAAACAAAGAAAAGGAATAAAGTTTGCATACATTAAAATTTTGATCCATTCGCTTGTTGCACGAGGGCCAACGCGGCGATATGCTACACGGTGTAAATACCCATGAGACTACGGCGAAGGGAAAGGATAACACTTTGCACTGCAGATGTGCTTCTTCGCCAGCCTGCACATACACATCCTCGACGGTCACTTTGGGCTTGTCGCTTATGCTCACATTGAATTTCAACTCTTTCACCAACAATTCATTCTTGGCGCGTATCACATATTCACCACTGTCCTCGAGTTGTGCATTCACTATTTGCAGCGTAATCGACGTGTCGGTGGTGTTGATAATATATTTTTTGGATGGATGAATTTGCGTGTTGTCTGGTTTGTACCAAGTAAGCGTAGGAAACGGATAACCGCGATATTTAACATTGATCTGCACCTTTTTATTCGCGCTACTGGCGATTTTGTAATAACCGGAAGGCTCACTAATGTTTATATAGCCCTCATCGCGATCTGGTGATAATGTTTTTAAAAGTATTTATAGTATGTAAAGAAGGTTGTGCTTAAATCGATATAGCTGGTATACTCACTTAAAACTGTCATTTGATAATTGTTGCGTCCAACATTTTTCGAATGGTCCGTGCAAATGCATTCATAAAGACCAGAATCCGATTTCTTAGAGTTTAATATTGTCAATTTTGCCTCGCCGACTTGATGTGTGGATGTTTTATTTATAAATGTTGGTATAGTTTTAATCATACGGTCCTATATCATATAAAATATTTAAAAGTCTTTAGTTGAAGGAAATACTATTGATACTAATATTTTAACAGTATTGATTTAAATATTGGTTCTTATTTTAAAATACATCATAATGTTGTTTGTTTTTATACCCTGAACAGGATATATTAAACTTGCCACGAAGTTTGTAATACCCAGAACGATACGTCGGAGACCTTATAAAATATACAAGGTGCGTTCCAATGTAAACTTTTTGAATGTAGCGAACCTGATGGCTCCAACTATATGTCGACTGGCGTTAGAATTTGCTATCGTTATCGATTGTCCAGTGAGAATTTCACAACATTCCATAGATTGGAAGTGAAGTTATTGCTTTTTAAGTGTCAGTATGATTGTGTTATCGGTACGAAACTGAGCTTCGAACAAAGAGCCAACATTAAAATTAGTAAAACTTTTACCTAAACGTTTCAATTGATGAAACAAGTTTATGGTGATGATTGCTTACCCCATAGCAAAGTGCACGAGTGGTTTCAACATTTTCAAAGTGGTCGTGAAGACATAAAAATCCATCAAAATCCGTGATCACCGCAAATTCCATCGAACACGCATAGTCATTCATCAGGCTTGCATCGGCATACTGGCCAACGAGCTAAAACACTCGTTCGACATGCTTTTGGACCGTGCAAAAAGCTGTATTGAAGCAGAAGGAGACTTTTGCCGAAAAAACCATTTGTTCTGTTTTTTTAAGTCCTGTTTACTTTGGAACGTACCTTGTATAAGGATTTTCGTTTTTCTAACAAACTTCATACTGAATATGTCGGTCAGTATATGTATAAGTTATATCGAATATACGATGTATGTGTATATAAAATTGCTTAGATTCCGATTCCAGAATTTAGCCCTTCCTTATTTTTTTATAAAATTTTTGTATAAAATAACTTTTATATACATACATATTTCATTACTGCTTTAATTAATCTCACCTCATCTACACCTGGTGGTGTTTTCCATTCTGTTGAGTAGGAAACATCAAAGGCGATTTTCACATAACAATTCAGCGTGAAGTTTTCACCAACGTTCACATGTCCACGGGAATTTGAGGTTATAATCGGTTTCTCAATATATTTCGTACTCGCTATTAGTTTAACGATTTATCGACGATGAATGTCGTAAAGCAAAAAAATTATGTAAATATATGAGTAAGTGTGTTTTTAAATAAAAGTTACTAAAAACTAAAAGCCAACATACTTGGGAATAATACATAGAACAGAGGAGTAAAAATCGTACAAAAAGCATGCAAGTACATAAAATATGAAAAAATAATATAAAGCGTTGCGTATACAAATCAAATATATAATATATAAAACATTACACGCAATACACAATACAATTTACAAATAAATATATAAAAACTAAATAAAATGATATATTAATATTTTTTTAATGAAGGAATGTATGTAAATATACAGTTATGAAAGCAAAAGTACTTCGATTATACTTAGCAATGAGTACCAGTTCCCGATGTGATGTGTTTTCGAAAATGTTTTATAAGCTCAGTTGATAAAAACACGAACTGGATTATATTAGACAAGAAGCTCCATTAGTTAAAGCTGTGTATGCATGAACATAGTACGGTTATTAAGTGAAATTCATAAGCAAACTTATGGACAAAAGCTATTTACATATGAATGTATTTGCATAAACATTTTATTTATTGCATAATTTAAGAGTTTGTGCTTAATGTGTGATTCAAAAGTCTCTTGTACTATAATTCTATTAGAAAAATCCTATATAGGTCTCTTGTATTTTACGAATTATACTAATTCAAAATTTTTTCTATTGTAGTTGTTGGAAATAACCAGAAAGACAGTGATAGTTTACTTTAGTGATAGTCTCTACAGTCTTTTAAGCTTCCTTTAACTAATACTATTTTCTTAGCAGCAGCTTAAAGCTGATTTTGAAAATAATTATTAGAAAACCCTAAGAAATACTTTGAAAGAAGATTTCTCTACAAATTAGAAGCGTATTATCACTTTGGCTGTGATGAATCTCAGTCTCACTTTCGTAAAGATTTTGGCATACCATATTGACCACAAATCTTTACATTAAAGTTGTGTTTAGAAATGTTCACGGTGCATAAAGTGGCAAGTTTTCTTTTTGATTAATCTAAACTTTTAGTCGCACTTAGTTACAATACATACGAGTAAGTATATAATACCACATATTAAAAAACATATATAAGAATGCTTTTGCTTGCCATGTACTAAAATACATATTTAAGTATAATTTTTCAGCTTTAACAGTTTTCTGCAGCTTTTCTTCCATACTTTTCAAATATTTCCTTGCCAAGCTTAACAACGTTTTATTATTATTTTTTACTTACCAAATACAATACGCACGACTTTAAAGCATTTTACGCGCCAACATGTAAGCTTTTTCTGAGCCAAAAGCTTTCGAAGCTTTTTAAGCATTAAAATATAAGTCAACAACTTTCGAATGAAATTAAAACGTGGTACATATGTAGATAACATTTAATGTATAAATTGTGCATTTGAAAACTTTCGTTGGAAAACAAAAGTATGTAAACAGCTATAATTTTCCAGCATAAGTCATGCGCTTTAAAAAATTATATGTATTAATTGAGAAAATCCGTGCATTAAACAACAATCTCGAAAAAAGGGTACGAAAAATCTACATGAAAATGTTTAGCTTTTAAATTACTGTTATTTGCTGCCAATATATAGAACTTACATCGTAGCGCACCACGGAATCGTGAACTATGCCATCTAGTTGTTGGCGCAGCGCGTTTTAAAAGCGGTCTCTTTGTGCTGCGCAAACATGTTGAACGTTGTGGTGCGTTTTCATAAATATGATTTTCTTCAACAACAATTCTGTCACCATTATCAATGTCAGTGAGCGAGTCGTCTGTGTAATTGTTAACTACTTTTGCGTTTTTATAGCCAGAAAGTGTAGTCGTTTGAGTCGTATCGTAACCGTCACCATTAGTAAGACCCACAACATTTGCTAGGATATTGCTATTATGAGTTTCAACGCCAAAGACACGCTTATTTTCATTAACAACATTGCCATCACCAAGATTAGTTGTGTCAACATTAAGATCAACATCCATACCCATTTCCACAGCTGTTACAACAACAGATTTATTTAACATTTTATGCAAAACAGGCGATTTGTTTCGTTTAGCTACATCAAAAATGCGGTTAGTGACAAACATGATTTTGTTAGTTACTGTACTTGTTTCGGATTTCGTGCTTCGGCTTGGTCTGGGTTTATAAATGCGTTTAGTTTTTAAGGATATGATTTGTTTGGCGTTGTGCTTTCTTTCGTTTGTAGTTTTGGTATTCATAGTAGCTACTGTAGCCTCCACCGATGTATTATCCGATGCTTCAGTTTGTCGAATATTCATACAAATATATGTATAATTAATGGATTGTTTTCAAGTTTTTTTGATGTTAATTACAAAAAAAAAAAAATGTAAACGCGTTTTCGTTTATTAAGTATGTATTTCAATAACCGCCGGAATGATAGAGGCATAAAATGGTGTATAGGAAAAATAGAAAAAGGCCATATATGTAAGTGTGTATACGCATGTAAAATATGTAATTGTATACTTAGCAGTAAAACACTCGAATAAAATTGAAATAAATTGAAAGCCGAAATACCAACACCAAATTTCAAGTTAATCAACCAAATAATTGTAATAAGTTATTCGTAATTTTTGAGAGCGGATATAAGTATACAACTCTTTTAGGCTAATCTTAACTCATACTTCTTAATAGAAATGTTCTAAAACGTTTTTGATAACGTCTGAAGAAGTTAAACCTTATTGTTTTTCCAAATATTAGTAACATTTTTAAATAATTTCAACTAATTATTAAGAAAAAATTTGTTTAAATTAATTTTTGTTCATATCAAACTGTATGTAAAAGAAAATAGTATTTTGTTTACAATAAATGTAGCTGTAGTAAATAAGATAGGTACAAGAGACACAGAAAACAATCACAAATGGGGTGCAAAACTCACGATTAACAGGTTCGTTACCACTAAAAAGGATCTCAAAGGTTTGTTCCTCCTCTTCATTTAATGGAGACGGCACTTTGGGTCGGCACACATAGCTGCCGCCATCGGTAACGCCGCGTATTTCGACGACGAAACCGCGCTGAGGATTATAGCGGCCGGTATTTTCACTGGAAAATGTCTAAACAGCAATAAAACGTTTTGTGTTGAATTTAGAAAAAAGTTTTAAGCTTAAAAACTAACTGTATGAACGAGCGGTAAGCAAGTAAAAAGCACAAAAGTGATGACGGTGTGTATGTGGGCGTGTGTAATACAAAAAGCTAAGAAGAGAAGGTGAGCAAAGTACAGGCCTCTTAGGAATTGCATAGAAAATAAACACTATGAAAAATATCTTAAATTTATTATAGTATATAATATAATAGTATATGTAGGCATAATAAAAAGTGTCGAAATTTGTTTTTTTAACTTTGTTAGGTTAGATTAGTTTAAAAAAATCGTTCCTGTGCCAAAGTGCAATTAGGTTTGCACAGGGTCAATTGAGAACTTGTTATAATGTATAATTACAAGAATGTATATAATGAAAAAAATAAAAGTTAGTCTTTATAAGTGTGAGAATGTCTACAGATACTCTGGTGTTTTTACTTACAAAAATTATTTCTGTGAATTGACTACAAAAGTCCTTTTTTAACAAGAAAATGTATTCTGTTTATAGCAATAAGAGGACTTACTAACATACTTATATACATAATTGCATTGTATTTAGAAAATATGTGCAAATTTTTAATTAATTTTTTTAATTATCTGAATTTCGCAAATAAAATTGTACTGGGAACTGTATGTATGGTTTTAAAATTTCAAAAAAAAAAAAATAATAATAACGTAACATCTCTTTTCGAAAGTTAACAGGCGAAGGAAAAACGAAACTCATATTGAAACATCTTTGTGTTTTGGTTATAAAATGGTTATATTGGGCAGTCGAAAAAATCTTTTCGTATTTCTAATAAAACTTCAACTAATTTTTTTATTTATAGTGAACAAAACATTTTGGTAGACCACTTTTTGCCATTTTTCCGCCAGAGGTATCATTCCTTCAATGTAAGACTTTCATCAGTGAAATTTCGAAATTTCCAGAACGGAGCGAGCGAATCATTGTTGTGTTACACGAACTGATACAGCATTGTCTCCGTAAACTTCAAAAGGAGATTTCTCATTTTTTCACTCACTTTAACCAGTGTAACTTTTTTTCAACGTCCTCGAATTTATTGGTTAACTGAAGCTTAAAATATCATCTCTCCAACACTATTTTGTATGACACAATGTGATTGGTACGGCGATATACGACTGCAACGACATCTATTGACAAAATACGAAAATACTTTTTCGACTAACCAATATATTGGCTATATCTGACAGCAGAAGCTGAAAATTTTATGTTACATATATGTAATACATATAATGAATCGTAAGCAATAAAAAACTCAATTTCGCTTTTTTTGATGATACGGTGTTTTACATTTTAGGTGACGATATATGTTAAGACTATGAGAAGTACCTAATAACCTTTCGCCTAAACGACTCTTGGTAAAGTTTATATCCCCAGGAAATACTCTTACTAGTGTGATCAAATGCGCAGATCCTTTTTTAGTCTTCACTATTAATCATATTTGTTTTTGTTGTCGAAATACCCTGTCGCAAGAACCTCAAATGTGTCCTGCCTAATCAGATCAAATATATACATTTTCTTCTATATTGAAATTTCCATCAATTATTTATATTATGCAATATTCATTATATGTGGACCAATTAGTTTGTTATATAAATTTATAATTTATGGTACTAGCTTTATCTATTTAGCAAATTTGTATGTATTTTCGTATTTATAAGGAGTAATGCCAAATAATTACATATTTATACAGGTGGCATACTTCTAGCGCTACTTTACTATGTACTCTGTGTACTGTCTACTATATATACGTAAGTGGATGTTTATGGTACTATATATTGTTTTTGGGTAACTATAAATAGTCGTATGTATATATACAAGGTATTGCGGTCTACATAAATTTATAGTTGTTGTTTTTTTTTTAGGTAAAAAGGAGTTGAGTAACATACGTTTCATACTAATTATATAGTTAAGTGAACTAATTGTGCTTCCATTGCGGCTAAAGCAATCCAAATCAGCAATGTTTCTCACATTGCTGTCTCTTATACACATCTAGATGTGTATAAGAGACAGGTAAAAAGGAGTTGAGTAACATACGTTTCATACTAATTATATAGTTAAGTGAACTAATTGTGCTTCCATTGCGGCTAAAGCAATCCAAATCAGCAATGTTTCTCACATTGTGTATGATGAAACCGATTTTCGGATCGAATTCAATTGAGTCATACACATTGGCAGGTGGAAAGCTTGTATGCTGTGGCGTCGACTTAGAGGAACACAAAACTTTTGCCTCCACCCCATCCTAAATATAATATAAAATATTAAGCCAAGAAAAAATGTATATAGCAGCCATAACCAAATTAGTTAAATACACAAATTAAATGAAATATGAAACCGTATATGACAATTAGCATTGATAAACATTGAAATTTAATAAATATTGCATTGAAAGTGCAAGCGGGAAGTTTATTAAGCTCGTGTATTTGAAAAGTGTAAAAATTGAGGAGCTTGAAAGCAAGTTGATATTTAGTCAAAAATAAATACTCGTTTGTATATACGATATACTTACTTCACCATGCGACGTGGTTAGCAGCACTTCTATGTTGGGCATAGTTGGTTTGCATGGTATGACCGTATCCTGGTATTGAAGCGCACTAATTACCGGAAATTCATTTTGTGACAAAAGATTAACAGGGTCTGTGGGAGAATAACGGCGTTAGTAAATACAAACTATGCCTCTATAGTACATTTATTCTTACCATTAACGTATATGTAAATTGAGGACGCTTTATAATTATTAACCAACTCTACAAGTTCCTCGTCCAGCATTGCATCTAGTCTATTTGGAACACTTGATTTTTTTATGCAATAGTAGTTACCCAAATTCTTGCTAGATATATCCTGTAGATATAGCATACTGCCATGTAGACGTTGTGGATCACCAGTGTTAAACGTTTGCTCGTCGTAGTCAACAGTATCATCAGGGAGTCTCCACGTTAATGGTTCATCGGCCTCACAACGTATTGTATAATTGGTATTTAATTCAAGTGTTACATAGTCCATTAGAGGTGTGATTAACGGTGCACCATATTCGACAGCATCATTACGACGGAATTCCTCGTCGTAGTTTGTTGGAAATAATTGTGGCGCTGAAACATAAATAAAAACTAAGTAGTTATATAATAATAGAATGTATGCGGATAACTCCTTAAGCGCACATAAAGTGTGCTCTGTTAGAATATGCAAGTTTATTTGACTTATGCGAGTTGTGTGTTCGTTTCGCTACTTTTAAATTTTGTTGAATGGAAAACAGTTGAATGCCTTTGTACACTATTCTTAAAATCCATTTTCGTATGCCCTGTGAGCATATTTCTTACTTAAGTACCAAAGACACACATACATAGGTATGTATATTATTTTGCATAAGTTTTCTAAGTGGTTAGCGCACGCATTCCAAAATATACACACACTCACACAGTGAAATAAATTTTAATATATCAGTTGGAAGCCACAAAAAAGCATCGGATGCACACAATTAAACTGTGTCGCCAGTGGCGCCAAAGTCCAACTCTATTTACTTACAAAGAATTATTTGCTTTTTGGTATTCGTATTGGATGAGGTGGCGTTTAATTAAAGACAGCTATATAGCACCAGGGGAGTTATTTGCAATCGCAAACGAAAGGAAAAAATTATTGCAAAATACATACCTATTGATAAAATGGGAAAAAAGAGATGTGGAATAAAACGTCTAATTTTGAGCAAACAAATTAAATATAATTAAGTACGTCAGAGAGAAATATACGATATAATTAATTATGAATGAAAAATACTTTTACAGATATATATGTATATGAATTTGTTGATAAGAAAGCTTTAATACCCTAATCAGGGTATATTAAGTTTTGTCGCGAGCTCTATAACCTTCAGAAAACGTCGGAGAACTCCCTATAAAAAAAAAATACATGGATGGTTAATAGTAACAAAGTGACTCGATGTAACCTTATCCGTTTCTCAGTATATTTCCGAACTAGTTTTTTAGTGTTTGAGATATTAATCTGAAATTTTGTTGAGGTTTTTTCTACCCAAAACGCTGCTAATTTGACGAAAGTGTCACTATTGGATTTCTGTTGCATATACATAGCTGCCAAATAAACTAAGCCTTTCAAATAAAATCATATGACGGTGAGAGGGTCACCTAGATACCGGTACCTGTTTTCTTATATAGAGCCAGCTGGCAGCCAGCCTCCCCTGAAGCTACCTTCTGACTTCCAAATAAAATCCCATCGCAGTGTGAGAGTCACCTCAGCACTGGCCAGGTACGGTGGTTGCTTTTCTTATATAGAGCCAGCTGATAACAAGTTTGCCGTGAGTCTCCTCATGACTTTTAAAACAAATCACATCGAAATGCATGAGTCTCCTAAGCACTCGCCAGGTCCGTGGCTGTTGTGCCTTTACAGGTCAGCTGCCAACCAGCTATATTGTTCAGGTCGGACGACTATGTGCATATAGAGGAAACTTCTACACGAAAATTGGAATGGATTATATTCCAAGATAACGTACAATAACAGCGTCTATTTTTCCGATCGGACTACAATAAAATATAGAGATCATCTTTTACATTCTTATGCTATAAGAAGCGTACATGGGAAATACCATTCCAAAGCTTGGATGCAGCCGAAGTTAACGATTTTTTTTATTTCTTTATTCGTTTTTCCTAATTTTCGACCGAATGACAGCTCACGTGCATGTGCTTATAGGAGAGCAAGTAAGGATAATTAGTATTGTTATATATTTGTCCACAGCACTTGTCAATATGCCAAATACGAATGCCCATTTCTTATCACTTTTGCTATGGAATGAAAGGGTTCTATGCCTTGCATACTAAATATAAACACATATAGGTACGCACAAATGTGAGTTGCATGCATATTTACGCAAGCTAAATTGAATGCCACACGCATTCAGGTACATACATATTTTCATGTATACATACATATATACATTGTACTTCTAAGCCAAATGCATTACTGTTACTACAATCTTTTATACTCTGGCAACATTTTGCATAAGAATATGACAGTTTTTCATTTAACAAAGATATATGTAAATGAGCTAAATATTACTTTATAAGTATGGCAATACACAATAATATAATAATAAAACATAGCACATAAAACATTTAAATATGATAACTAACGGTAACAATTTTGTACGCTACAAATACAAATTTCACTTTTAGTACTCAATATTCGGTTTCGCCCGAGCTTACTCCTTCCCTACTTGGCTTCAATTCATTTGTGTACTGTAATCATTATCTTTGTCCCGTCTCTTAAGTGTGCAAAATATAAATAAACGTTTTTCTTGCTTTTAATTCACTGGAAATGCGTTCAACTTGCACCGATTCAAAATGTTGATTTGGCATTGCTACGTGTTTAAACTTTCAAAATAAGAAGAGAAGAAGTATAAGTCGGTGTTTACTTTGTGTTTGCACTTCAATGAATGGTTCCACCGATTTGCATTTAAATCACCTATTGACACATTAAAATTATATATTAAATACGCGTAGCAGAATAAGCGCGAAGGGTTTGGCACAAGCGAACGGCGAATAGAGATTACATAAATATATTTATGCATAGTTAAGTGAATATAAACAAATAATTATAGAGAAGATGTCCTGAAAATGCATGGAAATTCCCTCTTCGACTGAAAATTTTAAATTTGACCCGCTACTAATTTAAGGCGGACAGTTCTACTCTTGGTAGACAGTGCGTATGAGTTATTTATTACAAAAGGAGTATCCATTATAACTTTGTAATGACTTTTTTTTAATTTTTTTCTGTAGAAAATCTAATATTTATTACGTCGTTCCTCTGAGATTTTTCTGGGTAATAAATAATGAGCACCTTCTTGGGGAAAGGAAACCGATTGCTACTAATACTACGTGGCTGCTTGTAAGTTAGAATTTACAAAAAATCACGATTTCGTTATTTTCGCAAAATATTTTAAATGTTATTACTTTGAAGCATATACAGTCTTAAATTTCAATAATTTAAAAAATACCCTCATAACGTCCAGCAGCCATTCGAATTGAGTTATTTTGAAGCGGATGGTTAGTGAATACTATATAGAGGAAGCATCTCTCGGTATAATTATTAAGTATTATAATAATTGTTGTTTTATAAATGCAGTTATCAAAACTAATTTATCACTTGCATTACAACAACTAAAAAATGCATGCTTTAGTGTATTGTAATGTTTTCAGTTATACTTAACGTTCTAGTTTTGAATTATTAACAGCATAAAGCGTGCCGGACGCGATCTCGCAACAATAGCAATCTACATAACATTCGTGCATATTGCATACATACAAGTATATACATACATATTAAATTTTATGTACTTATATAAATATGACTGCAAGCAATATATTGTATTTGTAAACACTACGTAGTTGTAGCACAATGACTTTGAACAATGTACTCAAAAACTATTTTTAGATCTAACGTCGCAGACTATGTTCGAAAAAAAGCACTAATAATAAAGAAAATACAAATAAAAAAACTAAGCAGCTGAGCTGATAATCTTACTGAATGTGAGTGTAGCAGAACAATCAATTATGAACATTGCATTATATATACAAATCTATGTGATGGCAGAAGAAATGAATTTAACCTCACTCTTTAGGCATTTCACTTTAATATTTATGTTAATTATTGCGGTTTTTCTTTTTATGCATTTACTATATTTTTACTCCGTAATGCGCGAAACACAATGCTAGCGACAGACTGCAAACGACATCTGTCAAATATTAAAAT